GAGGGAGAGGTTCTCTCTTGTCGGGCAGTGATTGATCATTATGGGCTGAGAGGTTAAGTGTAAGGCCATTTAAGATAATACCTGATGGGCTAATCTTGCAYCTGCCCACAGTCCCTGGGTTATTATAAGATGGCTTGGTCCAGGGATCACTTAGTGTAAGTGTTGGGCCCATAGGGTCCATGTGATGGGCTCAAGGGGTTCACTGGGCTTTCCAGTGAATTCGGATAAGCCTTGTAACAAAGGGTGGGCCGAACCCATGTGGCTGATGTGTAGATCAATGCTTGGGTCCCACGCCATACAAAAAAGCCCAACTGAGCAGCAATTTGGAATTTTATTGAGCACTAATTACTTATTGGGCCTAAAAGCCCATTTCGAACTGGGCTGATCTGATCACCCACTTACAGGGGCGAATCTGTAGATAGGATTAAGATTATCCCCTATCCAAATTCATATTTGGATTGGGATAACTCCTAATTGGATTAGGAGGTTTCTTAATCACTAAGAAAGGAGAAAACCCTAAAAAAAAAGAATTGTAAGAATTCGACCTAGGGTTTTTGTAGTTAACACTCTCTGCAATTTGAGATAGGATCTCATCCTCCTTAAGCTGAAAACTGCATTCACGCCACTTTCAGCTTAGGGATCTCCTCCAGCCGCCGCCACCTTGCTGCATAGTTCGAACTCCATTGAAGGGAGAATCAAGAAATCTGTTCTTGATATCAATCTTTGCTGAAAGGCTGATTTGGTTCGGTGCTCTAAGCCTCCAATGAGTTCTTGTGAAGATTTCAGTACGTGAGACATACACTGTTGGTTCTGCCCCACCATCGCTGTGTCATCTTCCGCGGGAACAGATATTGGATCTTTCTTTGGGCGTGAACGCCGATGTTGGGAGATTTTGATTCTCAGTATCAGGTATAACCCTTCCCCTGATCTTTAGTTCAGATCTAGTCTGGTTTGGTTCGAGTAGATCCTTGAATATTTGATTTTAAAATAAGGGAATGCGATTCCCAGTTGGAAGAAATGTAGGAAATTTTTGAAATTCTCCCACCCATTCCGCAACCTTTTTGGCGTCCATACGATGGATCCTACCATTCTTCCATTACATAGATTAACTGTGGTGCCTGACTTCATCAAAGTCAATTATCTTGGTCATTGCGAGTAGTGGAGACATTCAGCAACACAGGTGCGGTTAAATTGATGAGACACCATCTTTAAACTTATGACCTTCACTGTTAGGGTATGGCCACTGGTATCAGGCTTCAACTGGTTGACCTTTGTAAAGAGTGTCCTCCACAATTTATCTCTCCAGATCACCTACTATGTTTTTGACAGTTTCCTTTATAGTCTTCAATTCAATTTCCAGTTTCAATTTCTCATTTTTACAATCAATCATTTTATTTAATTTACTCAGATTCAAACAACCTCTTGAGCTGGCGGAGTGCAACTTCAGCATCCTTAGGTGCCTTTTCTTTTGCTAGAATGTTTTTTTCTGCAACTTCCAACTTTCTCTTCAATTCGTCCTCAGTGCACAATTTCTTTTTCAATTTATCATCGAGATCCTTGAGTTTTTCCTCTGTAGTCTTCAATTTGAGTTCTATTTCCAATTTTTCCTGCTTGATATAAATCAACAGTTTGTACCCATAATCAATCAACTTTTTGTGCTGGCAGATTAGATCTTCAGAATCTCCTAATGCTTCTTCTTTTGTTGTGATCTTTTCTTCTGCAATATCCAATTTCCTCTTCACTTCCTCTTCATTATGCAACTTTTTTTGCAATTCATCTTCAAATGGACTTGATTTTTTCCTTAACAGAATTCAACTCAAGTTCCACTATCAATTTTTCATGTTGATGAATTTGAGCTTTGGCATCCTCTAACAACTTTTCTTTTGCTATAATCTTTTCTTCTGCAACATCAATTTCCTCTTTAATTCTTCCTCACTGCATGCCTTCTTTGCCAGTTCATCTTCAAGGTCCTTGACCTTGTCCTTTGTAGTCTTCAACTCAAACTCCAATTGCAATCTCTCATTCTCACAACCAGTAAGGTGATCTTCAGTTGTTTTTTATGTTCCTTTCAAACTTGAACTCTGGGCTTGAGAGGGAGAATCTGGCACGGGCCTTCATCTCGAAGTTGGTTTTCTAATCCCCCCTTTTTAGTCTTTCACTGCATGGACATCACCTAGCTCTGATTTTGAACGATTCATTATGGTTGAATATTTACTTTTAAACCACTGCCTCAGAAGAAGCTCAACTAGATTTAAATCAAGAAAATAAGCTGCAAAACAAGCAATTATCAGCCTGAAGGAGTGAAGGACTGGATGAAGGTCACGTATCCTAAATAGATTAGAAACCTAATAGTTACAGGTTACAACATGGAGAATCAGTTCAGCATGGAGCCATGGACCATTAGACCATGACAGTTCTTAGTACAAGGACAACAAAGGTACCTTACATTTTGTTTTTCTATAATTTCCGTAAGCTAGGTGGCTAGGGTGAAATCTATAAATATTAGATTACAAGGTCATTCTTAAAGACTGTAAGGCATTTCCATTTGTAAAACAGGAAAACTCTAGGTTGTAAGGCATTGCTTGAAGATTACTGCAATAATCAAAACAATAAGAAATTTGGAACAAAACTATCTTGTTTTTTCTTCGTATTATTCTCTGTTTCATTGTCCATCTTCTCTACCTTATGTCTTATATTCTGCACCTTTTCATAGTTTTTTTTTTCTCTTATTCCATCAAAATTCTACTTGTAAACTTTCTGTTTTAAATTTCTACCCCCTTGATTCTCAGTGCCATCCCCATTTCAGTTTTTATCTAGAAAACCCATCTTGAAATCCTACCAAGTCCCCAACAAAACAGAGCCTAAGAAGAGTACTATAATCCAGACTTCTTCATGAACCATTTAGTAAACCTTAAGAAACATACAAGACCACGTTGTGTATATCGAAAAATAGCAACCCAGATGAACAGTGAAAGCCAAATATTAAGAAAAAAACATGGAAAAGAAAATTAATATTGGACCATAGTATACTCGAGTTAGAAAAGAAGAAGAAGAAAAAAAAAAGAACAAAAACTCGTTTGAGTTGATTGATTATTTCTCCGTTTTACTGCGATTTAGGACTCACACAACTTTAGACCTATGTGGAATATGAGTCCGTGTTCTATGCACCCATGGGTGCACCGGACGCGTGAACCCTCCAATCACGTTTGACCACATTGATTGAGCGCAGGATGGGTAATGTTAACATGGGTTTGGTGGTCAATCGATGGAATTCGGTTCAACCGGATGCAAAAACACAAAACATCCATTTTCATTTCATACTCACCTGGTTCATATGAACAAAAACCACCCACTTGGTTCATATCCTGCCTATGAGCCTAGGCACATCTTTTAAAACATGGTTCTGAGTACAGCTATGAATACACACATTTCAGTTATGAATACATGCACCATATGTCCATGTGAACTCTCACTTCCCAATCCACTTGATAGCTGATAAAGGATCTGCCACTTGCCCTGCCTAACCATTGTTTGAGCTATCATGTACAGATAAATTTAGGTTTTTGTAATTATTCAATGTTAATTCTTCAACCATTACTCCAATGTCATTAATAGAATGAGGGCTAGCACATATAGGTTCTGATCCAGCTAAAGAGGTTACAGATCTATTTAAGCTCCAACTCTGTAAAGCATCTGTAAATCCTTGGGGCGAGCTCTTGGCCCAACCACTTCCCAGAGATAAAAACATGGCAGATGGATCCAACACATTGTGGTTGCTTGGTTTCAGGGCATGATCGTTTTCTTTCCTTTTGAGGTGTATACCTTCCACGGCATCATTTGCAGTCACTTTTTCACCTGTTCCTTCCATCCCATACAAAGAGACTTCATTTGCATGTACTATGTTCTCTGCAAAACGAAGAGGTTCAGTAAGAAATTAAAAGAACCATGGACAGGGCCACCGGTGGCTTCATCGTTCACGGGGGCGCCGGTGTGAAGTGAAGGCACCAGTGAGCTGTTGTTGTGCTGGGGTTCGAAATGAGGATAGGGAGGGGGAGTTGTGAAATAAAAATGGATGTTTTGTCTTTTTTGTGTCCAATTGAACCGGCCTCCATTGATTGATGGCCAGACCCATGTTAAAGTTACCCATCCCACGCTCAATCGACATGGTCGAACGTGTTTGGTGGGTTCACGCGTCCAATGCACCAATGGGTGCACAGAACGCGAACTCATGGAATACAGCCTGATTACACAGTAAGTAACTAGTTCAAAGTTCCAACACCTGATAAAAAAAACAACAAAACCCTACTTCTACCACCTGATTAATTATAAAGCACAACCCTAATTCTACCACTAGGCTTCTAGGCCTCAACGGTTGAGCTTCTGCATTTTGAGCTCTGTCCTCTGCGTTTTGCATTTAAAATCAAATTCAAATTCTCGTTTTGGCCAATTACCAACTTCGCCATCGGTTGCTGGCCTAAACGATTCAACCGACCATTCTTTCTAAAAACAGAAATAAATGCCCCTTACATGTGTTCAGTGATTTCTGTCGATTAAGCAATTCAACTTCTTTTAAAGTAATCAAATTAATGAACAATCACCCAAATTTTTCTACCCAAGCTAGTGCTTTGAAATAGAAGGTAGAGAAAATGCAGGGAAACCTTAAAAAACCTTGTATAAGTTTACCTCCCTTTCCCTACATTTTCTTTCAAACCAAACACAATGGAGAATGGGAATTAGAAAAGCCCAAGATATAATATAAGGCATAATTAGGATTAAAATAAAATGTTACATGAAGATCTCTGATTTGTATCTTGGTAAGTCATTTATTAGGGTAAGGGTGCAAATGGATCGGATTCGATCCAAATTCTAATCCTATTTTGCTAGGTTCCAATATCCCCATTTCAGGTTTTTTTATCAGATTGGAGATAATAGGATCTGATTAAAACTTGAATTGTTTTTTATAATGCATTTTTGTAAAAATTATATATATATGTATATGATGAAAATAGTTGAAAAAATATTTGTATTTTTTATTTTTTTTTATTTAAACTGTTATATTTTTCCTTTTAATAATTTATTTTTTAAGCTAAATTGGATCAAATCATATTTGGATATCTTGCATCCTTATCGGATTCTGACTCGAATAATCAGATCTACGATTTATAGTATTGGATTGGATTCAGATTTATCCTGATTTGAATTTGATCCTGTGCATCTTCCCTGCTATATTCATAATCTAATGGATGATTGCATGAGTTTATTAAGACATCTCTCTCCCTTCTCTATCAATCCGCCATACCCGTAGAGCATGTTCATGCCAATAATGTAAAAACTAATAATGTGGTGAAAGTGAAACTACATCTTCTCTCTTTAGAGATTGACGCAGCAGCATTATTCCTATTTCCTACAAAATGCATTCTTATAAAAAAAAATAGGATTCGTTTGGTTCGCGGGAACAGACCTAAAATCGAAATTGAATGGACATCAGTTTCCCATTATTAGTAAAATGGCATTCCCCATACGAGGGTGATGGTTATTCCCTCCCCTCCCCTATTGGATTGAGAATCCGTTGATTTAAATTCCAATTTGAACCAAACACTGGGAATAGACTATTCCTGTTCCAACTGTGAACCAAACGAACTGTAAGTCATCAGTTCCGATAGCTCCCTCAACATCATCCCAGTATGGTTTATTTGATCATATTGAAGTTCTTATCTGTTTACTACTTTGAGCCGATGTCGGCAGGATTTTAAGTTCTGTTTCTGGGGCCAAAGCCAATGGATTGATTTGTCCTTCGTAGATTCCTCCTCACTTGTTTTAGGATCAAATAATCAAATTTATGGACAAATAGCTCCCGGCACAAAATAAACTAACAATTAACAACGCATTTTTTTGTTAATTTACATTCTCTTTTACTTTTTTATACATTTTGTTCTTCGGATGGATTGTTCAATATGGGACACAAACAAGAAACAAGACAGGAGGAATTGCTACATTGCTACACCCTAGCAGGGAGTTGTCACCTTGTTCTATACACGAGATGGACAGAAAAAAACAAACTATTTACTTTGCCAGTAATGTTAAAGAGAGCTACGACGATCCCAGAGCTTCTACAAGTTATTCTTTGATTTCTTTCAACGGGGCTGATGGATGCGGCGAGGGCTACATTTGGGGCTAATGGACTGTGGGGCCTTCTCTCGATACTTCGCAGGTTCCATCTGAGACTTGGGGACTTTTGGAGATTTCATGGAGGTCGTCATCAGGCTCTTCATCAGCGCTTCAGTATTCATCTCCATGCCTGCTTTTCCAAAACAATTACAACATTAATAGAATGAAAAATTGAAATTTCACTTTAGAACGAAAATATCGTCATCGATGGAGAACATAAATGCATACCATTTACCGGCTTGGAAGCAAACAGTGCTGACCCATTTTGTTGAGGATAAGATTGAACAAACTCCTCGAATTGGGCATCCACGTTGTACAATTCTTCATCGACATCGAAATCAAACGACTCTGGGAGCAGATCGGCAATGTCAACGCCATCATCGTCGTCATTAGGAGTGCTGATAAAGGTTTCTTCTTCCTGATGCTGGGCGAGCCAGTAGTCCCGGAACCAAGTTGATGTCTTCACCAGCTCCCACCATTCAGGAGAGAAATCCTCCACTTGCCTGTAAGCTGCTGGGATGAAGAGAGGGGCGTTCGGATTAAGTGTAGATCTTCCTCCAGATACTAGTCCCATCACTACTTCTATATAACCTTAACTTCCCCTGTTCTCGTACCAGTCACGTTCAAACTTGCCTGGATAGAAGCATTAGAATAGATCACAACCATGACATAGGAAATCTGGAGAAAAAGGAAGGACGATAACGTGGAAAATTCTGGAATTCCAAAAATAACCAAATTGTTTTAGATCTAGCCAAGTTATTTTGTCTAAAGCGTCAAATCTTTTCTTGTTATCCCCGATCAACACTGGTCATAGCTATTAAGACCTCCAAAGCTGAAGGTTTCACTTTCGATAATAAATTCCGCGCCTTTTACCCAACAATCAAACATCGAAGAACTTAGATCTCACTGGTAATGCAAATTAGAATTAAAAAAAAAAAAGAAACTCAACTACAGAACGAAAGCCGCTTTGCAAAAACTAAAAACATTTCGAAATCAAAAAATCAGACACCTAGGCCCTGCAAATGACGAAGTTCCTTAAAGATCGGCCGCAGTCCTCACAAAATTTTGAAGTTCCTAGCCGATCTTCAAGATCATAGGCCTAATGGACCAGATCCACCATGAACTTCAACCGGAAGCACAACTCCTACTCCAGAATCAAACATCATCGCAAGCAGACCTCATGACAAAAACAAACCTCCAATTCATCTAAACCATAAAACCCAAATTTCAGAGTCAAGAGAGTCAAGACTGCATTACCCCACCCAGAATTGAAAATCTCACCATCAGATCTCATGAAAAACTTAACACTTCACAAAAAATAAAAAGATAGCGAAATAAAACCAAATCGGAGACACTCCTGAAGAAGATCTACGTATTCCCCTAAAGCGATTAGGATTTACCTTTAGGACACAGAGAGGAAAATATCTCGCCCGGACGAATGATAAGACCAGAACTGTTCTACGGTTTATGTCTGATGCTTCGAAAGTCCTATATATAGACCGAGGGAGGGGATGTTACGAACCTGATTGCTTCGGCAATCCGAACCTGAGGTTCGAAAGGGACGGAATTTTCAATTAGAGGGAGTTGGTTTTACAGCCTACAGCCTGTCGAAATCGGTGAGAAGCTGGTCACCTTCGGCATAATTGGGCTGGGCTGTAGCCTGTAGGTGTTTAAAACGCGTGGGGCCAGCTGATGACTACGGAAAGCTCCCTGCTCCCATACAGGTTATATACCTGGAAAATGATTAAGAAAGAACCTTCCTGATAAAAGATCAAGCTGAAATGTCATTAGATTCTAATCAAAAGGCTGGGGTCCAGTTTGTGATTGAATCTTCTTATGATGTTTCGTTCAAGAACAATTGATCATTGACTCGGAAAAGATGTTATGTTTGATCAACGGTCAGAATCGGTCGAACGAGTCACTTAGCGGTCAACTGAAGGAATTGGGTGGAGATGCCGAAGGAAACGGGCGTGGGGAATCGAAAAACGTACAATAGATGAAAGTTGAAAAAGGACTCCTTGTAGAAAACGATAGTGCTGGCGCCATGGTGCTATTTACGAGTATGAACCGTATATGGTTCGGCGGCACTCGGTTTATTGCTGATTATGGTTTATGGTGGAAATCTGGCGGTTTGGTTGGGTCGGTTGTACCGACTTTAACATGCCTCCATTCTTGGTTCAAGAGGGGTATTCATAAAAAACGAAAAACCGAATCGAATGGAAAAATTGAATAAAAAATTGCATTTAACTGAATCGATCGAATATTCGAATCCATAATTTTAAAGGCAAATTGTTTAAACTATTTTTAAGGTTTAGAAAATTGATTAATTATATCTTTATTGTTTTAAAGTATCTTAATATTTTTGACAATTAACTAAAATCTTCCATAGTTAATGTTTGTTAACGAAAGGATTAAAAAGATAATTTTATTTATCATTTTTTTTAATTTTCAAAATCCTTATTTAAAATGAAAACTTCAAACAAAACTTGTACGAAGAGGCGGACCTAGAACCATGATTTAATTTGTAGATGAGAATAATCATGATTTATAGATGAGACCAAGCAGGATCAAACATTAAACTTGGTCGACCCAGAAGTAACAAATTCGACAAACATTATCAATGTTTAACAGGGAGCGTGAATTGTCTCAGCTTGTCGAGGCTTATCGAACCAGCCTCTTGTTTGTTTGTGCCAGAAAACCAAATGAGCTCAAAAATTGGTTATTAATGAAAATTTTTGGTGGGTTTCTGGTTTTTGAAGAGAGATTGTTAATGAGTTTTTTCGTTTGTTAACCGTTTATGTTCAATATTGTTTGGGTCTTTTGGTTCTTTCCGCCACCCAATGAAGAGGGCGACTACCAGAACAAGAAAGGAGGAATCGAGGCCAACTCCAATTAAAATGGCTAGTTTCTAGGCCTTGTTTTCCCCTGAAAATGGTAGAGAAAAGCTTGTCGGATTGACAGAAGTAAAAAAGAAAGGAGAGGAAGAGAGAGAAAGAAAGGGAGAGATACTGTTTGCTGAATCTAAATCTTCCTAGACAAGGTAGTCCTCCTCTCCGATTCTTTCTCAATCTCTCAAGATGGTAAAAATGTCGTCAACTCTTGCGATTTCTAGCATATCATTCTTTTTGCAGGGGTTTTGTCTTTTCTTCCTTTATTTTTTTTTCTTTATTCCAGGCTTTGTCTCCTACATTAAAAGTTGTTGGGAAGAGTTATTGGAAGGAGAGGGACGATTCCAATTAAGAGCATGTCGCCGACCTCCTTGAAGCGATAGTGGTAAAGGAGGGATCTATTTCTTCCTTTGCTTTTTTCTTATTTATTCCAGTTTTATCTCCTACATTGAAAGCTGTTGGGAAGAATTATCGGAGGAGAGGGGCGATTCCAAGTAGGAGCATGTCGTCAACCTCTTTGAAGCGGCAGAGGTAAAGGAGGTGATAAGCCTCGGTCTTGGTGACGAAGCCGCAACCTTGATGACGATGACAAGCTCCTCATCATGTTTCATCCCTAACCTACACGCACATTAAACGTAAAAATCAAGCATCCCTTTCATTCTCGCTTTCTTATTCTTCTCTTCCATCACACCAGAAAGCAGAACCCCGTTCTGAAAAGGCATAAAAATAGGTATGAAATGATCGGCAATCCGCTGCCTCCATTGCCCTTGGCATCGAAAAGGTTGAACTTTCTGAGGGAGCTCGTGTTTGAAGCTTTGGTTTTTGGAAGAGAAATGAATAGGAAATGACACTGTTGGAGTATAGGGGTTTACAAACCCTTGCTCTGACCAACGACAATGGATCTGATCATTTAAGTATCTCTTAGATTTCAGATCTGGGTTTCTTGCAGATCTAAGAGATACTTAGCAGATCTAGGCACCCAACCTTCCATTGATCTTGGCAAGTGCTTCAATCTCCGGTAGACTTGGGCACTTGGGCACCTTTTTCTGAGTGAGTGAGTGAGTGAGAGAGGGGCCCGGAGGTGGAGATGATGAAATGTGGGAGAGAGAACAAAGGGGAAGAAGGAGAGAGAGAGAGAACAAAGGGGAAGAAGGAGTGAGATACAAAGGGGAAGAAGGAGAGAGAGAGAACAAAGGGGAAGAAGGAGTGAGAGAGGTAGACTTGGGCACTTGGGCACTTTTTTCTGAATGAGTGAGATAGGGGCCCGGAGGTGGAGATGATGAAATGTGGGAGAGAGAACAAAGGGGAAGAAGGAGAGAGAGAAAGAGTGAAGGGTAACATTGGGTTTTAAAAAATTATAGGCGACATGGTGTCGTGAGTGTACGAAATTTGATGGAATATTAATGGATGATAACACTAATCAATTGTCAAAAACAATAGGAGTACTTTAAGATAATGTTAAAACAGTAAACATATAGTTAATCAATTTCTTAAACGTTAGGATTAGTATAAGAAATTTGTCCTAATTTTAAAAGGAAAATATTTAGTTTAGTACCCTGATAGTGTCAAGTTAATTAAAAGTGTAAATTTTTGAAAACTATCAATTTAGTCTAAAACCGTTAATAGATGTTAAGTGACATGTGAAATATCACAAATGCCCTTTGGACATCATCTAATTTTCTTTACAATGCCCTTTGTGAAAATGACATAAATACCACGTTTTGAAAATGCATATTCGTTATCTTATTATGAAAATTTAAAATTTAGACCACGAGGAAAAGAGAAGAATAGGTATTGGAAGGGAGGAGAAAGGAGGGAAGGTCTTGGGTAGTGAGTGGTGGTAGATCTAGTAGTTCTATAGTATACGAGGAGTCATTTTTATTGTTATATATGAGGTTGCCATAGCCCGTGAAGGGCTCCACCGAGGTTGGTGGAACTGGATCATGATCTCATTCTATATTGTCAAAGCTCTTGTCTGACTCATGCCAATCCATGGAGCATCATTTACATGTCGGAGGGGGATTATGCCGATGATGACTGTGCTAAGTAACCATTGGGCGTTGAACAAACCTTAACGTTATGGCGGGATAATTCAATCAACTTAACACAGGGTTGGTAGTGATAAGGTAGGGTTATGGCGAACCCATATGCAAATCCTCCCTCTCATGCACGAGGCGCAGTGCCAGTTCATGCTGATAACCATTAACCTCGACTATCCCCCAAGGGATGTGTGTTTTTTGGAGTGCCAAGGTAGGCACTTGATAAAGTTGATCACCCCTATTTAAAGAGGACGTTAAGTTTTTAGACTCTGCTGGGAGATAACATGAAAATGCCATAAAATTGTATTGTAAAATTCATGATAATACCACTTAGCGTAGCCCACCAAGTATACATTAACTGTATACTCTTAAACTACTATAAACCGACTAATTAATAAGGTCTCTTATTAGTTGTCGCATGGACTTGACATTGAATCCTGCTGCACCAGATTTGGGGATTTGGGTTAGGGGAATGGTAGAGGTATAAATTGGGTTGTACTTGCTACTTCTAAGATACTTCAAAGATTTAGTTCGGCATGGGCTCAAGCTGGCCTGAGTCGTACCATAAGTTGGGCTGGTCCTTATGCCGAGCCTTGGGCTAGGATGAGCCACAGATTGGGCCAAGTCATAAAAGATATATTTTTAAAAAATAGAAAAATAATGAAAATTTTAAAATATATTAACAAAATAGATAAAAATAAAAAATAAAATTATATATATTTATATATTTATATATTATATATATATGGATTGTGCTGAGCCATACCGGTATGTGGGCCATGGGCGGCATAGTCCACTCGGTCATGCCGTGCTATGCTGGCTATGGGCCTGGAAACCCAAACCCGACACAACGCATCCCATCGTACCTGTGTGATGTGTCCTGTCATGCCAGGCCAAACTAAAATCGTGCTGGGCCTTATCGGGCCACGAGTGACAGTCCGATTTACAATTATGGGAATGGACTACCCATTGTATAGTCACATTGGAAAAAATAAAACGGATGGTTGAATATTCATCTATCCTTTAATGATTCTTGAATCTTAATAAGCAAGCCTTTTAAAAAATCTTAATACGCAACGAGTGGTTTAATAGGTGTTTGGCATCGGTGGTAGGCATGTGGAGTTAGAACCAGTGTTTCTTTTTTGTTTAAAATCGGTGCTATTATATAAACATTTTTTTGAAAAAAAATAGCAGTATTTTTATTTGGTATCAGTATTGACAGTAATATTTTCAATATTGAATTTATTATCCAACGTTCAATATGATGCCACGTCATTGGCACCAATGCTCTGTTTTTCTAAAAAACATCAAAGTTGGCGTTGCTCCAAACTACACTTTTCCAATTTCTAAGGTATAATCTGGAGTAACATTTTTTTTTGAAAAAATAATACCAAACAAGAGATTGTTGCTTCTAACATTGTTTTTTCTGATGTGGTGCCTATATGGCTCTGTTTTCTTAGAAAACAGCACTAATACCAAACACTGCCTTAAGTTACATACTTACAGTGGCCTCGGGCATCATAAGCAGGTTTGACGGCCCCAAACCCAACAAATTCACTTTTCACTTTTGCTTTTACACATGAAGAGTTCAAATCTGCGCCCCACCCGCTCTCGCCCCACAAATGCCCCACATGCCCTAATGTGCCATCTGTCCCTTCACACGGCTTCCGCTTGTAGCGCATGCGGGGCTAGCGGGACTTCCGTTAGCCCCTCCCGTTACCCCCGAAAACTCTCAAAACATATCATTCGAAATCTCAAAACCCTATTCCCACCTCCTCCCTCTCGAGTTCGTGCAGCTGGTCCCTTGACCCCGAGTTCTCTTCTCCAATTCGCCAGAGTTCTCTCCAGAAATCAGAGAAACCGACGGCAGAGTTCTCTTCTCCTTCTCCAGCACCGGCAGGAACTCTACAACTCACCTTTTTTCACACATTTCTTCATTTTTCTCTTTTTTCTGATATTTTCGTTTTCCAGAAATCAAAGAGCGGGTGGGCATCAACTGGGGTGGTTAATGATAAGATCAAACGGTGAAGCAGAAAAAGGTGGTTAATGATAAGATCGATATAGTTGAATAATTTAACGTGGTAGGTGGAAATGGATGCATCAACTAGGGACTCCCGGCCTGTAATATTGATCACGGAGAAGAAAGTAGATTTGATGAAAAAATCTATGATGCCGGAAAGAGATGATACCGATTGATTGGTTGTAAGTTTTTCCAGCATAGTTGGGTTTTACGAGCAGGTGCTACTGCATCGTTGAACGCTGCCTGAGTGGATTCCGATCGAAGAAGTGAAAAGCTGGTTCTTACGCTCCTGAGGAATCCGTTGAATCTCTACCATAGAAGAAAGTAAACAAGATYTTGGATAGGARATAATACGAGAAAACGTTCTCAGACAAGATCTCTGGACAATGTTTCTGAAGGTCGTGTTACCACTGCTACTGTGCCTGTTTGTTTTTCTACTCATGTCCTCGGTGGCCTTGGAAGATACTGGCTTTATCTATAATGGATTTCGAGGTGACAAAGTTAGCCTGGATGGCGAAGCACAGATCATACCCAACGGGCTCTTGATGCTAACGTATCAATATAAACGACAGTTGGGCCATGCCTTCTATCCCTATCCTCTCCACTTCAAGAATCTACCAGACGGCAATGTTTTCACATTCTCTACCACTTTTGTATTTGGGATCCTCCCCAAGTTCCAAAATTTTTATGGTCATGGAATTGCTTTCGTGATCACACCTTCAAGAGCGCTTCCCGGAGCTCGACCGACCCAGTATCTAGGCATGTTCAATGAATCCAACAACGGTAATCTGTCCAATCATGTTGTTGCAGTAGAGCTCGACACCATCAAGAACAGTGAGTTCTCAGGTATCAATTACAACCATGTCGGTATCGATATTAACGGCTTGACGTCTGTTTCTTTTGCCCAAGTATCGTATGCTATCGATCAAAGTGATAACCGTAAGAATCTAAGCCTCGTAACTGGGAAACCAATTCAAGTATGGATAGAATACAATGGCGTAGAAGGACAGATGAATGTAACGTTGACTCCAATTGATGTTTCTAAACCCCATATCCCCCTTCTTTCTTATTCTCGCAATCTTTCTCCGTTCATGGAGGATTCCATGTACGTTGGCTTCTCATCATCGACGGTCTCCTTCTCTACTTCCCATTACGTGTTGGGATGGAGCTTTAAGATGAATGGACCTGCTAAAAAGCTCACCATCTCCCAGCTTCCTAAGCTACCTCGACTAGGACCGAAAAAGCAATCCAAATCAGAGAGCGGGTGGGCATTTGCTCCTATACCAAAGAGGTACCTGCCGGTGCCGGAGAAGGAGAAGGAGAAGGAGAAGAGAACTCTAACTCGAGATAGGATTTTGAGATTTCGAATGATAGAGTTTTGGGGGTAACGAGAGGGGCTAACGGACATCCCGTTAGCCCTGCACGCGCTACAAGCGGAAGCCGTGTGAAGGGACAGATGGCACACTACGGGCGTGTGGGGCATTTGTGGGGCGAGAGCGGGTGGGGCGCAGATTTGAACTCACACAAGAATGTCGGATCCGGGCCCACGGGTGGGTCCGGTCACTGGTGCGATACCTTATCATGTGCTGCATATTTCATAGATTGGGGCCCATTATTTCTTTTGCATATTAATGGTGATAAAAAGTTAAAATAATCTTGTTGGTGTTATATCATGATAAAGTGTGGGACCCATTAAGCAATAAACCTCATCGCTTTGGTAATGGATCAACCTTGTTACAAGGGGACAAAAGATAACCAAATCTCTATTATCTTTTTCCTGTCGGATGACTTGGATCATAAAAGTGGATCGGTTCAACGGTATAGAGGCACAGGAGCTTCTCTAATTGCGTTTGGATTTGAGTGGATTGAGAATTGGGGTTGAATTAGGTTTGCCTAATGATCAAATAGATTACAGCCAAAAGTGTGTTTAGTCTTCTTTGGGATGACTGAGCTAAGTAGACAGCTCTTCTAATGACTGGCTAAATGCATCTTTGAGATGGTTTTTACCCAGCGGTTTCTGAAGTTGCAAGAGTCAATAAATCTTAAAACTCATCAAGCCATCTCATCACAATTCCGAAGTAAGTCAAGTGTACTTGGACAAGATTAGTATGTGTTTTATCCAAAAAATAAAACTTGTTTCATGAAAATTCGGAAAATTGAAGAAAACTTTAATCAGCCCAAAAACGGCTTTGGGTGAAGCCATTGTAGGTAATTTTTCAGAAATGGCTCATTCAACACAGCCCAATAACGACTCTGGACATTTTACTGCCGTTTAAGTATCTTATGCTCTCATAGAATTCAAATTCTTCTCAGTAGAAAATTAATCATTTCAAATTCACGGAATCAAAATACAATTTAAATTCAAATACATACCACTCCTGGAGTCAAAATGCAGCCTAATAGAATTGATATTTGATAGCTGGTCCTAAGTCCTAATAGACTAATCATTCTATTAAAAGGCCAAGATAAAAGTGGGCAAGCTTGGTCCAGCTCAACCTTTTAATGGGTGTATGGCTTTTGTCAGCTAACAAACCAAACCCATCCATCAAACCTCTAAGTTTAGCAAAAAGTACTAGCAGCTATCATCCCCATTCTTCCTAGATAGCTAGTAGTCATTAGTTTTATGGTAAAGAATTTCTGGGATTTCTGTCTTGTCGGGGCCGGGCTGTTTGTTTATGGCATGGTCGGTCTTTCTTGGTATTTGGTAGGTCAAGATAGTTTGGAATTTATGAGATACAAGGCTTTCTGCTGGCTGAAAATGTGCTTCCCAGGTTCATTCAGGGGAGAAATGGGGTGAGAGTCTGGTAGTTTGGAAATGAGTTAGAAGATGAAGAAAAATATGAGAAGCCTTTCATAGAGTTGGACCTTGTTTACTTGATTTTAGTGATTGAATAGTTAAAAGATATGACTTGAGAACTTGGGGAAACAACGTGGAGGTTGGGAAATGAGACGGGCGACCTAACAACTGAAAGATTATATCAGAAAGGTAGGGAAACTGCTTAGAGAATTCCTTCTTCACCACACTTGTTTTCTTCAATTTAGCAATTTGACTGGTTAGGAAACTTGAGAGAACTCCTCCAGGAGAGAAAAAGGAAGTTTTTGTTTTCAAGCTGAGGTGGCAAAAAAAAAAAAAAAAAACTGGAGCATGGCCAAATTGTCTGGCTTACAAAGGTGGTCATCAATATCATAAGCTATGTTTGGTTTGTTCTTTTGAGCTTCTTTAACTTCCAAGCTTTTGTATGTATTGCACCTTTTTTTAGCTTTCTTAGAGTTAAAATGAAACAACAGCACAATTGAAGAAACAAAAGTAATAACCAAAGAAAGGATACCTTTCACTTTTTAGGAGTGCAAATTGGGTATCCTATTTGAAGAATTTACATTGCATTGGCCTGGACTCTTCAAATTTTGACAAATGCTTAACCCAAGTCCATTCAAATTGAGGGAAAGCTCTTAAAGAATTTTACAGAATTCAATTTGTCAAGAAGTTTCCCTCAACTTAATTATTGTTTCTCTCTAATTTTCTGTCCAACCAAACGTGGCCTTAGTCTGCCTTAATTTTGGATTTTTTTCCTTACCTCGTGATTGAATTGACAAAGCATGTTGATGTGCTGCTCATCGCCAAATAGATTTGATATAATTAATCGAAGAAAAGCAAAAGTAACGCTAGCGAAGCAAGCAAAAACAGGTGCTGTCTCACCAGAAAAAAAAAATAAAAATAAAAAATAATACACACACAGAAAGACAACAAGTTGAACATGTCAATAATCAATACAATATAACAGGTTAAAGCATATTCATCATTTTTTCTTTTTGTGCTTTACATGGACACATCCATCAGTCCTTTCACACTACCACAAGAAAAAAAAAAAAGCCACAAAATATCAGCATTGATCGAAATTATTTTCTTCTTTTTCGAAGAATGAAACCAGGAAAATGATTTCACTGTTTGGCAGGTGCCATGTCTGCAGAAAAGCTGTCAAGCTTCCAACTATGAATTAAGATGCTGATGAGACTTATTCAAGAAAATCTAATAATACAAGTTAATAAATCATCAATGCGGCACATCCCTAGTGAAAATACAAAAATACCCTTATACATTATAACTATACAAGGGTAGTTTTGTCTTTTCAGAACACCATTTTAATCACAAATTGAGGGGTTTACCCAAATCAATAGGGGGGAGCATGTGCATGACCAAACTATCTTTTCAAGTATTTTTTTTGCCACTACTTGTGCCTATCAAAATCTCAACAGATTATGAGCTCTATAAACAATTCCCATTTTCATAAAAAAAGAAATTGAATAAAATAAAAGTTAGGGGATGACTTTATTATTAACTTCACTTGCCTTTATCTTTAATGATCCTAAGACTACTTTTAAACGTATAATTAATTATTAAATATAACATGCACATTCATTGTCTAACATCTGCCTTTACTGAACACTGTGGTCTACCTACCATATTTAAATTATTTAATGCTTCTTTTTTAGATTAAAAAAATTGCAAAGGCTGTTCAACCTCAACAGCTACCTCTTAATTAGGGATTCAGTTACTTGGTTTTGATAAACTAACTTTTATTACTAAACCAAACTGCTTTATACTTTCTATAGAACTGTCTAAGTACTTCAAAGTACTTAGTTGTAGTTTTAAATCAGTGGAAGGATCCTACAATGGGCACTGAAGTTTTTGTAACTTTGTTCTAGTAAAATGGGCAGAGAAAACAAAGTTTTCATTGTAAAAGGGTTAAAATTGTAAAGAATCAAAATTGAAAACTTTAAGGTCCCTTAGATGCCCCATGCATAGTGTGCTTAGCCTGGAACTTCATTAATTTTCATGAATTTCAATCAATACAGTGTTTAGAACCCCCATACTTTCCTCCAGGTCAACGGGTCAATTGTCACTAATATATCTTTTAATGGTTTTTAATTAGTGATATAGAGAGTTAGAGGTTGACCTGAATCGGAATTGTGAACAAATCACCGGTCGGACTGGCTGGGTCAAAAAGGGGTTGAAAACACTGATTGTGTGAATGTGAATACTGTATGAAAAGTCTCATAGTGAAAAAGAATGAGAGGTGCAAAAGAAGATTTGTATACAAGAGTGGTACATCTTTTATTTCCTTTTACATGTGAAGGGATTTTCATGTTCCCAACATCATCACAACAAGATACTTGATCAAGTGGTTAATAGATAGTATGCCACATTATTCTTATTATTTTAAGATTTTCAACATTTATTCATGAAATTGATAAAAAAAAAAAAAAAACGCATTTAAGCGTTCAAGACATTCACTGAATGGACAATATTAATCCATTTATTCTTCTCCACCTTAATCCACTTCATTTCTTTGGGATGGTAGTGTCTGAAACAAAACAAATGAAAAAAGCAATGAATCAGAACTCATGTTAGATTGTGTACATATTGAAAAAGCTGAATACATATTAAAATTTGAAACCATTTATTAAGATCATAAATCAGAATAAAAAAGAAAAGAAGAAAAAATTAAAGATGAAATGAGATCTTACCTCCACACTTCAATCCATGGGGAAGATCTCTGCCGCAGTATTTAGCAACATAGACCACCTTGGCCATGCTAATTGTCTGCTCCATCTCTTTGGTGATGTTCTGGCACACACATGTTATGTTGGCTTTCTTCACAACGTCACAACACCCTTGAGATGGTGGAACTTGTGGCCCAGACTTCTTAATGTACTGCAAGCATTCCTTCATTAAACCATCGATATCAGCTTTGCAATCCTGTGCCCACACCTGGTGTACGGCAACCAACAAAGCAGCTGCCAACACCAAACTCCCAACCTTATAATAAGCCTCCATCTCCTTCTCTCTCTCTCTCTCTCTCCTTTTTCTTTTCCTTTATCTTTCTCTCTTTACTCTCATTCCTTTGTATGGTGTAAGTTGCATGAAAGGAAAGTATATATAGAGCTATTTGAAGGTAAGGACTGAGGGCATGTTCTGAATGACATTAACCATATGAACTCGGAACTCCAAATTGCCACTCTTTTGATCATCCCTGGAATCTGCTCCTCTCACGGCTCATGAGAAATTTGTTTAGTTACCTGAACACGTTACTAGAATTCAATCAAGTGTAGGGCTGTAATTGGATGGGATTCAAATTTATCTATACCTCTGCATCCGCAAATTTGGATTTAAACCATAAACATTTTGTTGTGTTTTAAATGAATAAAAAAAATTAATTTTTTTAAATATGAATTATTTTTAACTTATTTATGCATAATAATAAATGTTTTAAAAACTGACTCGGAATTGAAACCATTTTAACCACTGGTAACAGTTCGTTGCAAAACTGAGTTGAACGGATCAACAGTTCGAGACTGAATAGAACCATTTCCAAACCAATAACAATTCGAACAATATATCAAAAACCAGAACGACCCATTGGTACCAGATTGACAGATCCTGAACCGAAAACCGACCCAATTGATTTGGGTCAATTGGATCCAGAACCGACCCACCAGCACTAGATCCTATAATTGGAACCGACCCAATCAGTTTGGGTCCATTGGGTTGGACCCACCCATTGTCAACCCTAAGTTGGGCCTAAAGGTGCTAAGATAGATTAAAGGCTCAAATTTAGTACAGAAGGGCCTCACTAGGTATGTCTTGACCTTGATGACCATTGACAAGGCAAAAGGTTTCTGGACTAAAAGCCATGACCAATGAGAAGAGAGCGGGTAACAAGGTTAAGGGTATGTAAAATCTGCCTAGGACTACATATGGCATGGCAATTCCATGGACTGCCCAGGCCTAGGTAGGGTTTTAAGGCACTGGTTCAGAATGCAACCCTGGCGCGTGGCCTGTGCATGTTGCGCCCTTGTGATAGAGATACACTAAAACATGCATATTTTAAAAGGTTTAATTTTTTAAAATGAATCATCTCATCTCTATAATTTTTATGAAAAAATAATAGAAAAAATATTAAACATTGATCATATCAATATGTACTGATACTCAATTTAATAGAAAAATATTAAATTGATTATTCGAATTTGAATTCTAATTCAAACGGATATTAAAAATTAAAACCTGAATTCGAAGTTGACTAGATAATTGAATARTTGAATATTCGATTAATTCTAAATCGATGGATTACATCCTAATTCTTGAAATCCAAGAATGAGCCTTCTTGTTCCATTTGAATGAATTATTGGAGAAAGTCTTAGCTTGTTTGCTTTGAATGAACAAAGGATACACACTATTTCTATAAATGAAGAAGACGAACAAACAAGCGAAAAAATAAAAAGCAAAAATCAAAAAACCTAATAAAATCTAGAACAAATGACGGAGAAGATGGACAAAGAACAAGGAGAAAGCAAGAGAGGGAGGGAGGGAGAGAGGGAGAGAAAGAGGAGAAGAGGGAGAGATTGCAACATTTTTTTTTTCATTTACCATAAAACAAATGGATGATAACTGCAACTGTGTTATTCATTTACTTTGAAACTCTCTTTTGTTTCATTGATACATGATCTTTGCTTTCAATATGTGCTATTCATTTCTTTGAAATCTCTTCTATGAAAATCAGCAAAACCCGATGTCGGGAAGGAAGTCAATGCAGGGGAATGAAAAAAAAAATGAGATATACAAGGGAGGGAAAGGGGGGTGGGGGGAGATGAGACAGAACAGGTTGAAGCAATTAATGCACTTTTATCACCTATCAACTAATGAAAATATAAGTTTGAACCAAGTGGTCTTATCATGGTAGAAGCAATTAGTTCTTTTTTTTTATTTTTTTCATATTAAAATAAAAGTATATAATAAAAAGTTAAAGACACTTGACCAAGGTTCCAACTTTTAAGACACGTATCTTTCTTTTATATTATATTATCATAGTAATTGAATTTGGATGATTATCGAATCGAGTCGACATATATTCGAATTTGACTGTTTGCATCATTTGAATTATTCAAATTCAAATCGATTACATCAGATGTCGAATTTGAATTTGAATTTTTKAATACCATTGACAGCTCTGAACACACTTAGCATGCACTTAGTATATATGAAAGTCTATATTTTAATTGGTATTAGAGAAACATCTCATCCATGCATACCCATTCAACCTTATAGACTTCTATGATCAATTTGGCACCCCTGAAGGGAGCCTCTCATCTGGGCTCTCCTTCACCTTCTTCCTTCTGGTTTCTCTCCCTCCTCCCTCTCTCTCTCTCTCTCTCTCTCTCTCTCTTGAGAGAGCCTCCCTCTCAAGTTTTCTTAAGGTTTTTCTTTTGAGTTTTCTCAATGTTTTGTTTTCTCTATTCGTGGTTTGATTCTGTTCGAGGTTTTCACTTAAACTCATTCTTCGTAAGCGAATCAGTCTTTTGGTTTCCTCCTCTGTCAGTTTGCATTTCTCTAGCAGTTGCTGTTCATTGTGAGTCCTGTTCGTGGTTTTTCAGTTGATGCTGCACATAGTGAGTTTCCGGTGATGGCAGTCTTTTGGATTCCTCCTCTGTCAGCTTCGTTCGTAGTCTGTGGCGGATTGATGGATTGGAGATGTATTTGTTTTCTTCTATTGGTGATTTGATCTCACCGTTTTTTCGTTTGCAAAAGATCTTTTGATCCTCCTTCATCCATTGTCTTGTTTCGTTTTCTTGAGAAATTGTTCCTAGGTTTTCTGATTGGCCTCATCGGCCCTTTTTTCTATCAATTTCTTGATTGAATCAAATATGATGCTTATGAGCGATTTCAAAAAAAAAAATGATCGATTTGGCATAAACAACTTCTCATCCTGTTATTGGGTTACATCTATATATCATCATTCTTTAAATTTCAATCATTCAGACCATATATGTGAAATTTGGCCATGCATATATAATCTGAATAAGGGTATATATCCTTATGATTTGAAATCAAATTAAGAATGTAGAAAAGAAACCTAATTTATATACTATTGTTGATAACAACTGACTTTTATGCTTAAATTGTATATATTAATTGTTGCATTATTGAGAAAAGTGAGATTTGGCAGAGTCGTTTAACTCCTGGACATGGGCGGCACAAATCATTAATCCACATGCATTACCTCATGTATGTTCTTTGGCAATGCATTTTTATGTTTTTTTTTTCTTTTGYTTTAATATAATTTCTGTTAATTAACAAATTAACTTCTAGATATGTTATTCCAAAATTCTAACATTTATTCATGAAACAGAAAAGAAAATACGATATTGAAGGAATTCATCACTCAAATAGAGTGATAGACAATAATATTATTCTCTAGATCTATTCCTCCACCTTTCTATCCACTTCATGCCTATGGGATGGTGATGTCTGAAACAAAACATAAAACAATGAACCAAAATTTATGTCAGCTGATTGTGTAGTAGATCAACAGAAACAGGATGGATGAAATGGAATAATGGTAATTAATTAATAAAAATAGGTAGGTAGGTAACTAGGTACCTCCACACTTCTGGCCATGGGGAAGAGGTTTGCCACAGGTGTCAGCAACGTAGACCACCTTGTCAATGCTAATAATCTGTTCCACCTGCTGAGTGACGTGCTGACACACACATTGAAAGTTGGCATTCTTCACAACGTCACAGCATGCTTGAGATGGCGGAATTTTTGGCCCAATCTTGGTCACGTATTTCGTGCATTCCCTGATCAAACCTTCAATATCACTTTGGCATTCTTGTGCTGACACCTGCAGGTGCACGGCAGCCATCAATAGAGCTGCCATTATCAATATCCGAATGCTACAACCTGCCATCTCCTTCGGTCCTCTCTCGTTTTTCTTTTCTTCTACTTCTTCTCCTCGCTCTCTTCTACCTTCTCTTGCTTTGCTTGCTGCAAGTCAGATGCTGGCAAAGGCGGGTTTATATAGAGCCGTGTGAAGGCCTTTTTCTTTTCGAGCTCCAAATCGCTCATGCATCTTTTTCATCTCTGAGAGTCACGAGAAATCTGTTTTCCTCAACGCCCTTTTGAGTTTTGAGATTGAATGGAGATTGAAATGTCGACGTAGCTTTAATAAATAAATTAATTAATTAAAGAGGGCATTCAATTGAATTGGCATTTTCCAAAAGGCTAAAGTGATTGAACTGAATCACTTATTAATAAAAGCACGGTGGCTCGAAATTCGTTAGGAAGACCAAAGGAATTATCCACATCGATCCCATCTGACAAAATTTAGGTAATGGTTATTGACTAGCTGTTGGCCTGTTGCACGGGTGGTGTTTTAACAGATGAAACTTAATTTGTAGTTGATCTCTTTACGCTACCCGGATCAACAAATGTTATAAAGAAAGTAAGTTTGAAAAACGGACTAGATTTCTTGAAAATTTAAATTTTTATCATTAGTTTTCTAAGGTGGTAAGATTGAATTGAAAATTTCCAGGCTTCAGTAGATTGAGCTCAAGTATATATAGAACTGGATTACGGATTTTGATTGGGGATAACTTTGGCTGTTGGGGGCTACGGTGGCAAACGGGTGGATTGGGTTGGGTTGAGTTGGGTAAGGGTTGAATATCAATTCATCACGATTCATTATCAATCTTTGTTAAAGGGTCATAACTGACCCTAACCCTAATATATCCTGACCCACCCATATTGACCCACTTGATCCATCTATATTGACCCTTAGGTTGCATTTGGTTTGCGAGAAAGGGATGAAAAAGTAGGAATATTCTTTAAATATTCTATTTTCTCAAGTTTTATTTGTGGGATGGGACAGGAAAATTGTAGGACATAATTTCTCAGAAAGTGGAATGCGGGGTCACACCAAAACAATGCGACCCCGGTGGGAAAGGAAAAATGAGGGAAGGTTTATTGGGGCTTGTCAAAGAGGGTTCATCTTCTCCATTTTATGCGTCAAGCAGATCTCTCCAACAAATGACATAACAAACTTTGTTCTCATGTTCCCTAGTCAAGGTAAGACTACATTTAGATTCCTCGTGACTAGCGGTGGCAATTGGGTGAGTTGGGTTGGGTTTGGTTTGGTTTGGGTTGAGCTTCAACCCAACCCATCTAACCTGCCAACTCATTAATGACCCAATTATATAAAATTAAATGGGTTGGGTTCAACCCAATCCGACCCGCCCAAACCCATTAACCTTATGTTTATGTACTTAAAAAAAAAATAAAAAACTAACTCTCTCTTGACAAATAAGTTGGTCATAGTTTAATGGTAATAGTAGTTGTTATTTACACAAGTGGTGAAGGTTCAAATCACATTACATGCATGTTAGTTTTACACAAGCGGCGAAGCCATTTGACTATGTTTAGGTTTCAAGTTTAACTGAACCACTTAGGTTCAAATTGGTTAGAGCAACTTGAACTATCTAATTGGATTGTTTTTGAGCTAATCACACCAAGGGTGGTTGAACTGTTTAGATCTGGATCAGTCCTATTGGACTAGACTAGACTGGTTTAGTCAATGGTGGATTGACTTTGCCCGACCCATGTCAGGTTCATGCACTAGTTTTGGAACCAAACCAATTGGCCCAAAGTGGGTCAAGAGAAGTAAATCAGGCCAGTCTGAATTCGGGTTGGGTTGTGTGGATACGGGCCGGACCAGACAATCCAAACCAGGCATGGCAAGTAGGGCAGATGTCTGGACCGTTTCGGATTTGGGTCAACCCGGATTGGCATGTCCTGGGTCAGGTCGATTTCAGGATGGGCCAATCGACCCAAATGAACCAAACCGAGGTGATCAGGTCTGTTCATATTTAGACCAACTTGATTTGAATTTATGTCGATTTGGGTGAAGTGTGTTGATTCAAGACAAAACCAACTTTAGACCCAAATGAAGTGTGTCGATTTGAATTTATGTTGATTTGTGAAAACAACCCGCCCATCCAAGAATGGAGGTTTTGTGTCTGCAATAACATACTAGTATGAATAGAAATATTGTTTTAGGTTGGAAAGACTACCTATTTTATATTCAAACAAACCAGTTTCTTGGCCAATTCTGATTCTTTCTTTTGGAATGAAGACTCATCCCAAAAGAAAAATGAGGAACCATCATCATCAAATATTGTATTACCTTCTTCTCTATCGTACCTAAATGAAAACAAAAAATAATAAAGGTTAGGACAATTGTGTAGATATTATGATTTGGCATCACTACCTTTTACATGTGTTCTGTTTTACCAAGAATATGGAATTCTCCTGATTATGCACCATTAAAAAATCTGAAAATCTGTCAGCTTTTTTTCAGATTCCATTATTTTTCTGACTAGACTAGTAAACAAAACTTTCATAAAAATACTGATATTTTGAAAGAGTACACGTGAAAGGATGTTGTCATTATACTGCAAATGCAAGATGTTATTTGTTAAATGGACATAAGAAGAAGTTATAGCTCCATCCTATACCCAAGTTTAGAGAGTTCTTACATCAATAACAACTCTGGCATACTGCAACAGCTCCTCCTCATTTGGAGCTCCACTGTATTCTGCATAGTTTTCAAGCTCCGAAGCATAACCTAAATCTCCAACCTAATTGGACAGAAAATATTGAAGAATTTTAGCATGCGGGTGGGAGAAAAAGTGAAATTGTGGAATTTCAGCCACATGAAATATGAAACATTCCAGCAATTGAAAAGTGGGAAATGGTATAAGGACCACTGCTCACCATGCACTTTTCAACCAGGCATTAGCAGAGATATACCTTAGGCAATCAAAGAAAATGAAGTAGCATTAGAAGGACAAGAAATGAGAAAACTTACAATATCAGCATATATAACACTTGCACCACCACCTGCTACTATTGTCCAGATTCGTCCTTTAGGGTTCAAAGCATTGAACTTCAAGGACGCGCTTGTCCGCAATGTAACCCATGCATCAGTTCACCAATCTGCCTCTTGTAACTTTTGAGACAGATTCTGTACTCTAAAATACACCCCCTAAGAACTAATAGAATGTTAAAGTTCATGGAAGAATAATAATCAAGAATTAAAAAAAAAAAACAAAAACATGGGAGAATTAACAAAGCTTTTTGTAGGGCTCAGGACTTTGCCAAAAGGCAGTGGGAACTCAATGTTGCCCCACCTGCAAAGTATAGCACAACTTTATAAGACCAACACACCTTTTATGAACTCTCCAATTTTGTCTTGAACCTGAGCCAAGTAAAATATATAAGTATACCTTAAGTGTGGAAGACAGTAATATGCTCAAAAACAAAGCCAACTAGAATACATTGTACATGAAAACTGTTGAAGACTCAAATAGAGAAATAACTTCTTCATTGATCAAGGGCAGAATACATTGTACATAAAAACTGTCTCACACTATGCAGTAAACTTGGACCACCCATTATCTATCCCAAAATCTTTCACCATCCATTGCATGGTTTGAATTGGAGGGACACCAAAAATCACAAACTCCAGCAAATTTAAATTAATATTTAAAATCTWTAGATAGATATTTCCTTTTATTTCTTTCTAGATCCTAAAATATTGGTGCACTAAACTGACAATGATTATTCATCATGTACTGCAGGCATCACTGACCCTCTGGTTGAACAATGGCATACAAGCAGGCCACATATGCATAGGATGATGTATCATTTGAAAACAATGAAAACAACATGATTGAAAGTACCTCCAAAGGAAGTGTAGCAATCAATGGGGCACATGCCTCTGATGTCATAGGCTTCTCTGAAAGAAAAATTCATTGCCCAATGATGGTCCCGAAGATCTTCTATAAGAGTACACATGAACAAATACTGATCAGTAGAAAAAAAAAATTAAGATATTTTAACCTTATTCTCAATTTTGATCAATAGCTATGACCTAAAAACTTATTCTTATAAACATAATACAACTTACAGATATGATCCTCTCCTTCAACCTATTGCAGTAATTGAAGTGATCCCATTGCTGAAACTTAGACACAATTTTCTATGACAACAACAATAAGCAACCTCAACTTTAAATAAACTTATCTTCATAAAGCTTTAAATAAACTTTAAAAAAATCTAACAGTCCAAGTTCAAATACAATTAAGTGTGATTTGAGTTCAGCGCAAAAAAAATATACTATTAGTCAAACAAACGTATTACATACCTCGAGGAAAGAGATTCTTTGACTTCAATACCTTGGATAGTTGGTGAGTTAACAGCCGAAAGAGCATCGTTACTATCAAAAGCAGGGTAATTTGATGCACTCTTTTCAAGGGTTCGATGAATATCTGAAACTTCACCAGTTTTCAGGGGATAAAAGAATTGTAGAGTTCCCTACTTTCCTTTTGGTTCGTGATTGGTTCAAGAGAAATTGTAGAGTTCCCTTCCACTGTGGCATCTTCATCGTCCCTACTCGGATCTTGATGTTGTCACCCCTCTAAATTCTCTTCGGAATTAAGAAAAGAAACCTCAGCTAAATCATCAAATATAAAGTTCAGTTTCTTTTTGTTGGCTTCTACAGACAAAAGTTGTTCGAGCCGCTAACCATTCCCATCTCTATCAAAATTGACCTCTCTATTCATGCCTTTCATCAAATCGACCTCTCTGAAACGGTTGAGTATTCAAATCGACCTCCCTGTTCGTGGCTTCATAGTTCTTTGAATCGGTGGAGGAAGAGAAATAGTAAGCTCGGTGGAGAGTATTCCGAATGAAGGAGATACAGTAGTTCTCTGAATCGGTGAAGAAAGAAGAATAGGCTCGAAGAAGATAATGGAGATTTAAGGATTCAGTTCTCTGAATCGGTGGAGGAAAAAAGATGTATATACTCAAAGAAGGAAGAAGATATACCATCGAGGTTCATGGAAACCAAGATATTCTAGCGAGGGATTCGTCATTCGGTATTAACGATAACGACTCCCTCTCTTGTGCAACTAAACCATTTTGGTGGGACCCCTAAAATTTTATCATCTATTTATTTTTTTATTTTATTTGCAAATAACAACCATTGGACGCATGGTGCGGTACGTGACCTATTTTACTTAAAACTTGACCACCGGCTCTTGAACGGGTAACATTTTTTTGATTTGCCGATCATTGCTGACATTTACATAAGGCTACCGACAGAAAACCGCCGGCCTCTTCCATTTTTCTTGTAGTGTCGGTTGATGTCAGATGTCAAAACATGAACATTGTGGCCGGCATTGTTAAGGGAACCATTAGACAATCGGTTTTGTTTTATTCCAAACTTGATTTCTAAAATCATTAAATTTATCAATAACCTATTAATCCAGGCGGTCAAATTGTCGATTTGTTCAATAATTTTTGGCTGACTTGTATTTTAACTTTTTTTGTTAGAACAGACTATTCATTCGAACTAGATGATTAAACCGCCAATCCAAAACCCCAAAACAATTCCGATTCTATATTATTTTTTAAATACTTTTGTCCGTAAATACTGCATATTTGATTCCATCCATAAATCHATTTTCTTCCCTATGAGTTCCAGTATCGATAAGAATTCTAGTTCTTACTGTTCATATGTTATGGTATGAATATACCATACCAATTCGTTATGTATGGATGATGAGAACATTGAATGAATGGTCTAACCGTCAGAGGTTTGAACGGATGGCCAAAACAGAACCATCAGAGGTTTGACCATCCAGTCTGAATGGATGGTCTGTGTGTTGTTAACAAGTCAACAGTTTTTCGGAAAAGAAACAATTCAATTGTAAAACGAAACTATTTGATTAACGATTCTGGGCCGAATGGTCTAACCGTCCAGATCAACGATGTTTTGGAGACCATGTTATTAACTGAACCATCCTGTATTGTGGGTTAGGCTTTGAATTCATGAGATCAGCTTCTGTCAGGGCAAATCTGTGTCCACATTGTTCTAACAGTATTTTACAGCTTTGCATTGGGAATATCTCCCCATGAAATAAAGCATACTAGTATGGAGATATTCTCAGTGCAAGGCAGTAAAGATTGTTAGAATGGGCTTTGCCCTGACTGAAGTCGAACTCTGAACTCACGAACTAGTTATCTTATTTTTGTAAGAGCAATGACATTTTGGAATGATGTCCATTGTAGATATATATAGTTCAATCCAGAAAAGTTGAGCTCTCTTGAGGCCTTAAGGGCTTTAATCAAAAGTTCAGTCGCCTATTAGCCATGACCCAATTAAAAGATATTGCAGATTGGACTCTACAAGTGAAACGGTTTCAGGAAGTGGATTGGGGAAGTCGGGCTGGGTTAGGTCAGGTTGAGGCCAATCCTAGTCCAACCCTAAGTTCTAAACCCCAACTGTAATCCTACCCAACCAATTAACCCAATCCTAACCCTAATCCTAACTAAATTCCTTCAACCCTAAGACTTGGGATGGGCCCAACCCAACCTTCTTCCCATCCCTTAAAACCTTATATAATTTCTTGATTTAGATCTTAACTCAATTTTCATTGCATATATTAATCCTATGTTTCATTAGTATTTGTTTGTTGACGTTTTTTTTTTCTAATTTTTTGGTACAATTCAGAAAAACAAGTGTTAGAAATGACTATAGTTTATTATGAGTTATGACTTACGATAAAACATAAAATAAATTCTTTTTAAAAATATAAAATAATGTTATTAAGGTTTTAGTCTTTCTGATTAGGATTAAATGAAGTGATTATCTTATAAGAAATACATGATACTATATGATGGGGGCTATACAAATATCATGCATCTAAACAAATCAATATATGTTATATATTTATATATGATATATTACTATAGAGTCGGTTTCGGATTGGCTAAGGGATCAATCCTAACCCAACCTAAAGTAAAGTCGGGTTTATGAATTTCAACCCTAATCCTAACCCGAACATCAATCAGAACCCAACTTTGGATTGGGTTCGGGCCAACACACTCTATAATCAAGAGATCATGATCATGTGTTGTAAATCTTTTTGAAAGACGCCTGCTTGTGTTTTTACGATCTTTTGGATGGTTGGGACGATCCAACTTTGGTGTTAGATGTGGGGACCGGGAGGAAGAATTATACATATGTCCATGAGCTCTGCTTCATGTGATCGAAACCACTCTTGGAGGCCGTTTGCTAATAGTTGAATTGTTCCAAACTGATTTCTTTTTGAAGCCTGATAAGGTGAATTCAGTGCTCAAAAAAATATCATTGGCAATACAAATTGCCCCATACAGAATTTTTTTAAGTCCGATAAGACAAATTCATTACGTGCTCAAAGAAATATTATTGGCAATGCAAACTGCCTCAAACTGATTTTTTTGAAGTCTGATAAGGCGAGCGAGTTCATTAAGTGTTCAAAGAAATATTATTGACAATACAAATTGCTTCAAACTGAAGTTTTTTGAAGCTCGGATTAATTAGGTGCTCCAACTTCCAAGAAATATTATCGGCAATACAAATTGATTTTTTTTTTTTTTAAGACTGATAAGGCAAATTCATTAAGTGCTCAAAGAAATATCGGCAATACAAACTGCCTCAAACTGATTTTTTTTTTTTCAAGCCTGATAAGGCGAATTCATTAAGTGCTCAAAGAAATATTATCGGCAATACAAACTGCCTCAAACCGAATTTTTTTTAAGCCTCATAAGGCGAATTCGTTAGGTGCTCAAACAAATATCATCACCCCAAACTGAATTGCTGTCAGTTTTATTTTTTTTGGATATGGTTGCAACTATGCAAGATTCACTACATATATTAATCCTATGCATATTAGTCCAATGTGCAGGTCGGTAAATTCTTCGATGATAATATTAAATAAGCTCTTAAGTTAGTATTTAAGGGTATCAATGGACCGGTTTTGGATTGGATTCATCCAGTCCAAAATCAATTTGGACAGATTGGACGGACCAATGAGACATATTGGATTGGATCAATTTGGTCTAAAATATTTATTAGATTGGATTGGACCTGATCAGTCCATAATAAATTTATATTGAATTAGGTTGGATTAAATTAATATCTGGTTCATTGATATAAGATAAGAATATAGGTGTCAATGGATTGAGTTTGTGTTGAAACCAATCTAAATCAAAACAAATTTGAACAGATTGAATGATCTAGAAATTGAATTGAACCGGTCCACAATGATCCAAATATTCATTGGATTGGATTAGACCTGATCCATTTATGATGGATTCACATTGAACTGAATCGGATTCGATCAAATCCAGTCCAATTGACACCTCTAATAATATTTAACCCTATGTTGGTTTCACCTGCTGTGCAGGTGGATTTATTATGGAATCTCTTTCTGAGATATGGGGTGTAAGTCGAACAGGTTGAGTGAAATTTAAAGTCAACTCAGGCACAACTCTAACTATTGGGTTCAAGGTTGAACCTGTACAGAGCTTGGGGTCAAGTCCAAACTTCCCAACCCAGACCCAGCTCGAACTGAAATTCGACATATTCAGATGGGAAATAGGCACGGGTTAGGTTCGGGTTAATTGGATTTAAGTGAGCCTGTATGAAAAAGTTGAGTGAACCTATTTATTATTAATAATTTAAATTTTTTTATATTATATATATAAGAATGTTTGCATGTGTATGTATATACATGCATACGTGTGTCAACATATGTATCAAGCCCAGCCCAATAAATAAAAAAGTCGGGGTTTTGGGGCCAAGCCCAGCCAGAGGACCCAAGAGATGATAAAAAATCTACCCACTGCCGAGGGCAAGGTAAGACTACCGGACGGCAGTTCGATCCACTGATTGTCTGATTCTATAGTTTGGTAATAACAACTTCTCGTCCATGCATTTCTATTCAACTTCGTAGACTTGTATCTTATGATTTGGCATGAAAAACTTCTCATCCAGGGTTGGTCATAACTCCATTCAAATTTCAATCATTCAGAGTATATATGTGAAATTTGGCCATACATATATAATCTGTTTAGGATTAGGAATGTGGAAGAGATACCTAATTTGTTGATAAACCAACTGACTTTTTGTGCTTAGATTGCATTGTTGCATTGAGAAAAGTGAGATTTGGCAAATGTTAATCCCTTGACATATTTAAAAATCGTTAAACAAGATTTTCTTATGTTTAATTTCTTTGGCAATTAATGCATCTTTTTTATGTTTTTTTGTTTTTTTTTTTCTGCTAGAATTAAAACTCTGAATCTGCTTACAATAAGGTAATTGTTAGATATATATATTATTCCACGAAACTGATAAGAAATTACATTTAAGGAATTCACTCAATAGACAATATTAATTATTCCCTCTATTCCTCCACCTTTTCGTCAACTTCATGCCTATGGAATAGTGATGTCTGAAACAAAACATAAAACAATGAATCAAGACTCATGTGAGATTGTGTAGATAAAAAATGAACAAAAGAACAAAAAGGGAAATTGTCTAAAATTCAATGTCAATAACTTGACATTAAACAGACTAATGGTATTAATATATTATCATTTTAGACTTTATAGAAAAATATTATATATATTAATATTTAGACATGAAAAAAGGAAAAAATTCATAAAATATTTTCAAATATAAAATACATAAAAACAAAGAAACTACAAAAAATATAAAAAAATTATAGAAATTGAAAACAAAATAAAAAAATATATTTTTAAATTATAGAAACTATAGAAATTGAAAAACAAAATCAGAAAATAAAAATTGTAGAAAAAACACAAAAAATTATAGAAAAACACAGAAATTGCAAATAAATAAAAAAATACAGAAAAATTTATAGATTGTAGAAAATAGAAAATGAAAAAAAAAGAAATTGAAAACTGAAAATGACCATTTTCCTCTAATACATCATTCAAGGGTAATTTGGTCATTAAAATTGTTATTTATGCTGACGGGGACACCTTTATTAAGAGGCATTAACAGTGCATTTTTGAAAAATAAAAATTTATTGACATGATGAGTTTTAGACATTTTAAAAAGTTATGATAAATTTAAGAAAAATGCTGAAAACTCGTGATAAATTTTAAACAATTTCTAAAGAAAAAAAAGAAGTGAGTGATATTAAGAAGGATTGAATGAATGAAATGGTAATTAATCACCTCCACATTTCTGGCCATGGGGAAGAGGTCTGCCACAGGAATCAGCAACATAGACGGCCTTGTCAATGCTAATCAACTGCTCCACCTTGCGAGTCACGTGCTGGCACACACATTCTAAGTTGGCATTCTTCACAACGTCACAGCATCCTTTAGATGGCGGAATTTTTGGTCCAATCTTCATAACATATATCGTGCATTCCTTTATTAAACCTTTAATATCTTCTTGGCAATCCTGTGCACAGACCTGGTGCACAGCAACCAGTAACAAAGCTGCCAACACCAAAAACAACCGAATAGTAGAAGAAGCTGCCATCTCCTTAGTCCTTCCTTCTCTCGTTTTTCTTAATTACCTTTCTCTCCTCTCACACTCTTCCCTTCTTGCTTTGCAGCAAGTTAAATGCAGGGCGGGTATATATAGAATTGTGTGAAGGGAAGGACCAAGCATATGCATGTAAGGGGCCGCTTTAAATGAAGCCTAAAGAGATTTAACTGAATCAAGTATTGCTTTGTCCTTTATTAATTATTATTATTAATTATTAATATTATTATTATTATTATTAATTATTAATATTATTATTATTATTATTATTTTTATTTTTATTATTATAAACCAAATTGGTGTAAAGTCCCGTTTGTTAATTAAGAATTGCAATTTCAGTTTCAAACAATTAATTAATTGTTATCTGACGGTATCTTCTTCTTGATTTGTCATTCAATTCATTAAAGGACCAAATTAAATGTCAATAGCCTCTATTGGCAAGCAGACCAGACTTGCTTGCATGTGTCCTTGAGCTTTTCTTCATGTGAAACCATGATTTTCAAAACCGAATCGGGTCGGACTGGAAAAATTCAGAATTGATCGGTTCCGTTTTATTCTAGAACTGTTGTTTTGCCAAAAACTATTGATTTGGTCAGCAAATTGTTGACTTGGGTGTTCGAACCATTCGAACTATCCAATGATTTTGGTGGTTTTTATTTTTTTGTCAGAATGGATGGTCTGTTCAATTCGAATAGTCAGACTGTTTGACCTGGGAACCGGACCCTAACTGATTTGTTGTCCAATTCAATTTTAAAAACCTTGTGTGAAACCACTTTTTGAGACCATTTGCTAATAGTTGAACTGCTTCAACAGAATTGTTTTGTCAGTTTTTCTTCCTAAACATGGGTGCAATTAATTTTGCAAGGTTCGGATTGAGAATTTGTTAAAACTTGAGAGCAGTGTTTTTCAACGGCTATTGACCCAGATGGTTGGACCGTTTGGTCCAAGATTTGTCAAGGCAACCGGTTCCATTTCACTCTTAACCCAGTCTTTGGCAAAAAACTGTTGATTTAGTCAATGATTTGTCAACTTAGATGATTAAACTGTTGACCCATTCAACAATTTTGGCCATTTTTATTTTAATTTTTTTTCAATTTTTTATTTTTTAAGTTAGAACGAGCTGTCTGTTTGAACCGTCAACTCAGAAACGGGTGAGAAGAATGATTCTAATTCTGGGTCAATTTTTAAAATCTTGCTTGAGAGGATTTTTAACCCAAGGGCCTGGCCCAAGGCAGTGTAAATTCCTCAACCAATATTAGGCTTGGAACCCTTGAGGCCTTCAAATCAAGTTGTCAGTCACTCTTACAGCCATCAACCAAAGGCAATATCACTGGATTTAAACTTTCCATTTTGTCAAAAATAGTTACAATATTTCAGTTAATTTTCTTAATGTTGAAGTTATTTTGAATCTTTTGTGCCGGAAGCTGGATACATTAGTCTTGCACATAGTAAACAGTATTAGTGCTGCCTTTCCAAACACTCGGGAAGAAACCCCACTGTCATAAGTAGTCTTCAAACGAGACCGGATATCCTCACACAGGGCGTCTCAAATAAACTTTACACGCACATCCTACCATGCATTGGGAACACCTCCCGTACTTATAAGTTATTATTCATGGGAGATGTTTCCAATGCACGGTGGATGTGCCTGAGAGGCACCCATGTGTGAGGAGCAGATCCTGTTCCTCTTCAAACACATTGTTTCCACCGCCGCCATTGACAAGAAGATGATGATTGATGAACAATGTGAAGAGGACGCAGGGGAAGCCAAAGCAGACACCGAAAAAGTAGAAATAGAGCAGTAGTTGTTTTTATTTGAAAATTGATTGAAGGTTAAAATAATCTTTTCAATCTTTTCATTAATGGTAACAAATTATTGTCAATTGTCAGATAACTTAAGGGTATTTTAAGTCAATTTCTAAATAGTAAGAGTAAGTCAATTTCCTAAAACTTTGGAGTACTTTGACAAATTTGCCTTTGTTTATTTTGGGGGCCTAAATGGTGTTATAATTAGAGGCCTAATGTGGGATGAGACCCCATGTTGGAAGAAGGTTAGATCACTTACCTTAATTCTAAGCTTACATGTACTTCATATTATAAGGTTTTACCAACAAGGAATAGCTTGACATCCTATGCACAACTAACAAACTATCAAATAGAATATGAGGAATTAAAATTGTGAAAAAAGAAAAAAGATAAATTATAGACATCCACTCTATACTTAGGGGTGGTAACACTTCCCCCTCAATTTATTTATACATTTATGATAAAGATACTACCAACTTCTACATTTTAACACTTTGCCTGAGTTGTAACAAGGGAACTCTTCACCACACCATCAAATGCCATCATTGTGCCCGTTATGTGTCATCAAACTGCCATCAAGTGTGTTTTGGGTGGGGTAATACATGTATTTTGTATGGGGCAATGCCTATGGCATTATTATAATTACGCAGTATGGTTTTTTACCATATTGGTATTTTTTCTGTCACTCCCCCAAAAGCTTAACTTACTCTTTGAGGGGAGGTAGATAGTTGAGTGAATCAAGAAAGGTTAAGCATGAGATCCCCTAGACACTAAATTAACTGTGTGTTTGTGCTTGCCACCATTTTATGCAATACAAAGAACCTTTTGACTAATTTGTGTGCCATCGTTGTTGTCTCTGTTGCTTGTTGTTTTGTTTCGTAGGCTTTCTCGATACAATCAAGTATCACATGAAGCCTCGTCAACTAGCCTCGTGACAATTGGTAACAAAACTAGAGCTCACTTCACACTGCGAACCAAGCACATGACCCTTAATAGTAGCGACAACATGAAGAATACTCAGGACTTTGAGGAAGAGATACGACAAGAACTCTTCCCCACCCACGAGGCCAATGATGTACCTAAAGATGACCCTGGCAAGGACAAGGCCCCAAAGGGCCGGACATCGAAATCCAACAAGCACGAGAAATCTACGGATAGGCTCGCCAACATTGACACCCGCATGCTACGCTATGAAGTAACAGTGGGTGAGACACGTGATCAAGTATAGGAGCTTCACCTCACCATGGAGACGGTCGAGTCGATGGTGGAAGTGTGCAATGTGATGAATGGAACCCTTAAGGAGGTCTTGAGCACCTCGCGTTGGCAAGAAGCAAGCTCATCCTAATTGCACATTCAAGACATGCTTGACAAATTTCATGCACGGCTCAAGGAAATGAAAGATGAATGGGCAAGGTGGAAGATAACCATGTCAACATCCTTGGCTGTTCAGGCCCAATTTGAGGTAATGAAGGAAAAATGGGCAGCCATGAAGTCGGCCATGTGCACCTCAACCAACATGCAGGCCCAACTAGATGAGATTAGGGAGGAGTGTAACATCTTAAGGAGAGGAATCGCCAATTCGATCGGCAGTCCCTGCAATGACATTCACTCTTGACCACATCAAAATTCGGGAGCAAACTCCTTATTCAAGCACACGTGATGCGCATGAACATAGAACTCCTTATTCAAGCACACGTAGCACATGCACCATTGACACTTGGGCCGAGTTCAAAAGAGAGCTAAAGAAACAATTCTACCCAAAGAATGTAGAATACCTGGCCCTCAGAAAGCTGAAAGGACTCCGACACAAGAACTCACCCCATGAGTACGTCAAAGAGTTTTCAGCTCTCATGCTCGAGATCAGTGACATGTCAGAGAATGACTTACTCTTTAACTTCATGGACGGTTTACAACCATGGGCGGAAGTAGAGCTTCAATGTCGAAATGCTCAAGATCTTGCATCAACAATGGTCATAGCCAAACAACTCATTAACATGAGAATATCATATGACGAAAATCCTCCAAGCTCGTGTGCCCCGTGCTTAAGTGGGGGAGGATGACAATCAAATCCCTCACGAGAGAAGCAACCCCACTACAACATTCTAGCCGAGTATCGTAATGGGACGAAGTCACAAGGAGACCACAACACTTACAAGTACAAGTGGCTAGCCACCCCATCACAACCATGCTTCATTTGCAATAAGATGCATTGGACAAGCGACTACCCTACAAGGAAGAAACTTAATGCTCTCTTCACCAAGCTCAGTGATGATGAACAAAGCGATGAGAATAAGCCTACTCCGGTGCCAAGCGACTTAACTTGGCTACATCCAAACAAGCAGGGTGGATCAAAGCGGTCAACTCCAACGCCAAAGAAGTGGAAGGCGTAGCTCATGGTGTAGAGCTCCAAGTAGGACCCCGGAAGGGAAGCATCAACTTATCTGTGATATCCTTGGATGATTTTCAAGTTGTCCTTAGGATGGAGTTCCTGACACAAGTGGAAGTAGACTTGATGCCACACATTAACAACCTCTTTATCCTAAACGGGAGCTCACCTTGCATGATCCCGGTGACAACTGTATAGTAAAGGTACTTGGGAAGCAAGTTTTAGCATTACAGTTGTACTAGGAAGAAGACACCGTCAATGCCAATGCCATACCAGCAGCAGAGAAGACCCCCACTCCAGCATCTCACACTTGCACAAGGACGGACTGGGAAGTCATCATCAAGAAGCAGTCTCCACCAAAGCCGTTCTAATGCCATCATCAATGTAGTAACTACACGGTGATGAAGACATCAAGAAGACACCAAGGCCATCTTTGACAACAAACCCATCTACAGCCAAACCAACATGGGAGAGAGAGTGCCAACCACCCGAAATAGGGACCATAACACAACTTGGCCTCAACCCAACACATTTAGTAGCCCTGTGAAGACACCCCTTTGGGAAAACATTCATGGACACCATTTCCTTAAGGATCCAAACCATCTTTTTGACCCGACACTGGTCTTAACTTCTCCAATCACCAAAGCAGAACACCCAAAATCCTACCTTGAAGCAGCTAGGAAGGGACTTAACTTAGGAATTAGCCATAGGTTCTCCCACCATCAAGAACACCTTCAAGCCTTCCACCCAACCTTGTACCAAGGCATTGGAAGAAATAATGTTCGCAGAATAGCCAAAGAAT